TGTGTGTGTGTGTGTGTGTGTGTGTGTGTGTGTGTGTGTGTGTGTGTGTGTGTGTGTGTGTGTCAGACGCTGTGGCAGCATCCAGCTGGAGACAAGAGACCAGTGAAGCTGACACATTTCTCTGACCTTGAACAGGAGGAGGACAGCACACCTGGCTCAGGTATGTTTCCCACAGTTGTGTGTCCACAGAAGGCGGAGCCACCAAACAGACATGATGTGTTTTCTGATGGACAGGTTGGGCTGTTGCTATGGAGACCAGCGATGATGAACTGGGACGGCTGGACATCGATCTGGACAGGAAGTCCAAACAACACAACCTAACATCCAGCAACGTGCGCGCCATCTTACACGTGAGTATCAGACCTTTATTAATTAATTAATTAATTAATTAATTAATTAATTTACTTGCTCGCTCACTCACTAACGACCAAAGTGCTGTACAGAATCAGCACTGCAACACAGCTCATACAAAAACAAACTCATTCACAATTAAAATAGAAAAAAACCACAGAAAAATAAAAGCAAGTCATAAAAGACAAAGTTAAAACAAGGAATAAAAACAATAAATGCGTAAAAGTTAATCTAAAATAAAAACAAAAAATAAAATCTAGTAAAAATGAAGAACACAACCCGTGGTTTTTAAGACAAGTTTTAAAAACAGTCAGTGAAGACGACTGTCTGAGGCTTGGTCCAGAGTTTAGGAGCTGCTGCAACAAAAGACTGATCCCCCTGAGTTTGAGTCTGGTTTTAGGGACCCTCAGGAGCAGATGATCACCTGATCTGAGGGAGCAGGAGGGATTATAGGGGTGCAGCAGGTCAGACAGGTATGGTGGGGCAAAGCCATTCAAAGATTTAGAAACAAATGAAGTATTCTTAAATGGATCCTGAAAGGCACAGGCAGCCAGTGGAGTGAAACTAAAATGTGCTCATATTCACATGTACCAGTTAAAAGCCTCACTGCAGCATGTTGGACCCTCTGCAGTCGGGCGATGGAGGACCCACTAACCCCCAGATAAAGTGCATTACAGTAATCAGCCGAGTGGTGATAAAGGCATGGATCAATGTCTCAAAATGTCTTCTTGGAATGACAGGTTTTATTTTAACTAGCTGCCTCAAATGATTAAAACTCCTTCTAACAACTGACCTAATGTGGCTGTCTAATTTAAGTTCAGGGGTCTTTTCAACTCCCAAATTCCTCACTAACTATTTGTTGTACTGAGTCAAGGAACCAAGACCTACAGGGGAGTGGCCAACAGTACCTCCAAAAACCATAACCTCAGTCTTAGTTTCATTAAAACTCAAAAATTTTGTGCCATCTAGGCCTCCAGGTCCTCAAGACACATAAGTAGTGAGTCTATTGCATACGAATTAGACCCTTTGAGAGGGTCATAGATCTGGCTGTCATCTGCGTAACATCCATCCATTTTGTCCTGATGCATCTCAGTAATCCAGGTAAAAAATCAAAAGGAAAAAAATTGTATAGATCCTCTGGACGTCCTGATGCATCTCAGTAATCCAGGTAAAAAATCAAAAGGAAAAAAAAATTGTATAGGTCCTCTGGACGGGTTCTTCTTTAATGAAACGTTTCATCTCTCTTCCAAGAGACTTCTTCAGCCATGTGATGTGAGTATCAGTCACCTGTGAACCATAGCCATGTGATGTGAGTATGAGTCACCTGGAGGCAGGACTCAAAAGCCTGAATTTTGCCTGAAACTCTCAGACTGAAGAAGTCTCTTGGAGGAGAGACGAAACGTTTCATTAAAGAAGAACCCGTCCAGAGGACCTATACTATTTTTTTTTCCTTTTGATCTATCCATTTTCTTCCGCCTATCCAGGGTCGGGTCGCGGGGGCAGCAGCTTCAGAAGGGAGGCAATCCGGGTCACGGCACCAGAAATGTTGGATTTTTTCCTCTGTAAATAGTCAAAATGAACAACCCTAGTGAACCAACAAGAATCAGACAAATCAGACAAATAGTGAAAATTCAAAAGATACGCTTTGCCCAAAGGGAGAGATTCAATGTGCCCAACTTAACAGCAGTTGAAAACAGCGAAGCTCTGCCCGTTTGAGGCAGCTTGATCGTATTTATTAACTTTCAGAAAAGAGGAGTGGAAAACAGCTACAGTTATACAAAATACAACTGGTTCGTTCAGACAATACAAAACAGACAGTGTTAAGAGCTGAGTTGCTCTTACCCGGGTCCATTGGGATTTTGGAGGCAATTAGTAGGAGACACCTTAAAGAGTTAACATAATTTATTACAGATTACATGTAAAACCCACAGAAACAGATTTGCAAATCTGGGAGAACACCGGACCGATACTTCCCTTCGATCATCAAGTGTCTCGTCATATTCCTGTAATTCTTGACATTTTATACTGAAGCCTCATCCTTACGTAATGTCTGAGAATAATACATTATCAGTCAGCTGCAGGTGGTCATGCCCGCCTCCTGCTACGCCATTTGTTCCATTAATCTGCACAGCCTTGAAACGATAAGGAACCTGGGCTTTGACCCTGTTCTTCAAACATGTTTTGACCAGAGTGACACACACACTGAAAATAAAACAGGTCATTACATATACCAATTATAAGATTACTAACTGATTATTAACAGAACACAAAATATAGTTAAAGGTGTTCCATATTTCAATAACTCCCTCTCTTGATCTCTGCTAACACAGAGATCAATACCATGTGTCCTCCAGGACCACTTCCAACTTCCCTTCATTATAGGGAGAGATGTGTTTTTCACCTCCAGATTTCCAGTCTCATATTGAGACTGTTTCTATCTTAGGCCTGATTCGTTTCTATTTATTTAAAATAATGCTTCCCTTTTGTAGTTTTGACTATTTCTTTTAAAACTTTATATTATTATTTCTTTAACCTTTAGAGTTTTTAGATTTATGTTATTATTGATTTAAATTAACATTATGTTTAACTCTTTAACCTTTTAAAGTTTTAGCTTTATTTAAATTTACTTTATTTCTAGTTAAACCCTTAGTGAATTATTAACTCAAAACACTTTCCTGAAACAAGAAAAATACACCGTGTTAAGATTGAACACCAGGAAAAAAACCCTTAACAACAATTCTAACTGTTCGGTGGGACTGTTATGACATTTTACAACTT